GGACATGGGGAAAATAGACCACAAAAGGGCAGGGTTAACCCACAGGCTGTGTGTAACATCTCATCTATAGACGTGGGGGAAAGAGACCACAAAGAGGCTACATTAATTTGAAACAAATGAAAGGAAATCTAGCTTGACAAACTCTGCTGGAGAAGGAGCCATAAAGCCTTCACTTCCTCCACTAGACTTTCTGTTTTTATAAAAATTCCTTGTACACATTTTCAGATACTAATGTTGCTTTGAATATCATCAGTGGCATCAAGGCATCCAGTCTGCGGCCAAATAATGTAAAAACATGGCAATTGAGCAAGCTTTGAGTTTTCCATCATCATCAAGCGTTTCTCAGCCTTCTTCTCTAAGATCCAATCTGCCCTGTCCGTCTTGGAGACAGTTTGTCCCTTCTGAATCATCTGTAACACTACTTGAGACTCACCATCTTTCTCAGTGTACCACGTTTTCAGTCTCGTGATCAGCTTCTTTACGCTGCTGTCTTTGGCAATCTGGAAATTAAATTAATTGAAAGTATTCAGCTTAGACTATTCAACATTCAACACACATGTCTAGAAGTTGGACTTATGTCTACACCTGTTCCAGTGACCGCTGTAATTTGTCCCTGGGGTTTATCTCAACTCCCTGGGGAGCCAACACTATCATGCTGGTTGACCTACCCTCTAACAATACCCACAACCAATTAAAGCTGGCATATGAAAAATCTGTAAACCGGTCAAACCTTTGAACTACCATGAAGCAATGAAATCATGTGATACAAAATCGCTGAGCACTCTGAGGTGAATGAAACGGTGTGAAGATTGCAATTGTGAGTCCAAATGATAAACTTGTGAACAATTAGTGAGTATTTGAGATGGATTTGGCAGTTTGCTTCTGTTACGAGAAATGGCATCCTAGCACAGAGCAACATTGAAATTTCCAGTTATAAAAACAAAATCAAGAGTGATAAAGGAAGACCCAACTTGACACCGATGAGTGAATTTCAAGCTTTAAGGCAATCTTTCTTACCGCAATCACATGGCCAATGGCTGTGGCATTGCTCTTACGGACAGCAACACTTTTATCATTGAGACCTGTCAAAAATGCACTCAAAAGTTTCCCTGGACAGAGAGAAACAAATGCAAATAACAGAGCTGAATACTAAGACATATGCCCAGATTTTTTCTATTATGTGACATTTTGAAGTGGGAAACTTTGCACAAAAGTTTCCGTTTTAACACTGGAAATGGAAATCCTAAAGATTGACAAAACCCAACAAATCCAGTCGCAAGTCACTGGTACTGGTTTGGAGATAAATTACTTCCTAAGTTTTGTCTTTTTTTGTTGAAATGTCGGATTTATTGAAATAACTAACAGACTTTCAAAGCCTCCTAAAGCAGAATGAAACCAAATAAGTAAAAACAGTCATCACTTCAAAAGACACATTTCAAAGGGTCAATTCATTAATATGAATGCCCATATCATTTCTGTCCTTGTCTGAGCAGTCAAAAAACAAAACTGGAAACGTACTTCCCAACTTTTGATGGTGCTTAGCTCTAGCAACAAAAAAAAATTGCACTTTCCAAACTTACCTGCATATGGTGCAAGATCTAACGGGCATTGATGGCACAAGAGAATTATGAAACTTGCACAACCAGCCTGACAAATGTACAACAATCAGAAATACAAAGTATTAAACAGATCTCTATTTCAGTTTGGACTTGCAGGCTATCAATGAAAGGTTTGGTAAAATAAGCCAGCTTAAACATGCAGGGTATTGAAAGGGAAAGAAAGCAAAAAGGAAAACTATGCTCATACCTAGGATTTTTGTATGGTTCATTCACAAATAAAAAACTCTCAAATAACAACTGAGAGTGTATCTTATTCGATTTTGCGCATTCTGTGGAGCAAAGTCGTTGAGTAAATGCCACTTAATACAAGTGACTCATTACTAACTCACGCTCACCCAGTGAGTTCAGAGGGATTGATGAGATACACAGAATTTTGCACTGGTGGAAAGTCTAGCTTAGATTATTTCTTCTAGGCCCACTGTTCATCTTAGCCAAGAGGGCGCTGTTCATCTTAGCCCAGAGGGCGCTGTTCATCTTAGCCCAGAGGGCGCTGTTCATCTTAGCCCAGAGGGCGCTGTTCATTTGAAAATTGGGTGTGGTCAGGGGTCTTGTGGACACACACATATAGTACATCAAGGCATACTGGCAGGCTGACTTCCATGTTTTTCTGACACTGACTGACGCTCAGCAAATGTAAGTTAATATATCTATATTTTGATTATGACTGTATTAAAGAATTCTGTAACATCTAAATGGCAATTTGGTCTCAGTTTCTGTACAATTTGTGATCATTATAGACAGATGGTCAATCATTTCCAACTGCTGTGACCATGTGGGTTATTCCTTATCCATCAATATTGTGTACGATTAGGAGTTTGTCATGTGATAATAACCCTCTCTGTTGATGTATTGAGTCTGTGTTTGTAACTCAAATCAGTATTTTTATTGTTTTGTCATTCATATAGTTCATAACGCTGAATGCTGCTGAGACATACATGTACATATAATTGTTGCATAGAGCCATGGGCAAGACAACCTTAAGCATGAGAGTCAAACTCAGCTTTCACTTTTCAGTAACCACTGTCACAGATAAAGGTTTATAGACTTACCTTTGTTCCCATTCCAACACCGCTACGAATGAGGTCACACACCCGAGGGATTAACTCAATCAAGACATCAGCATCCACATATTGCACACACTGAAATCAACCAATCAAAATTGAGGACATTTTACAAAGAAAGATTTTATGGGGGGTCGAATAGCTGCTGAAATAGACGTACTTAGAAAGCATAAAACGTGTGATTTCTAACTCAGCCCACATTTAAGAGAATTACTGACAATTAACTTTGTTGAACTGCCTTTTTTCAAGTGTTATAATGAAGGTGAAAATTGAAAAACTTCAAAATGCCTAAAAAGGAACGCAGAGAAATTGCTAGCCCTGCCAGGTACTGCTCTGTGGTAAACTATCCATAGACTGCTTGCAACTGGTACTCGGTGACAGTCCCTTTGACATGGCGAGGAACCATTGAAAAACATGAAGAGCAATCAATCTATGGTAAAGCCGAGTTAACTTGAGTTGTGGGGACTTTTGAGTAACCCTTCTCTGTTTTTAGTCCCCATAATGATGGACATCAGGTGAGTAGTTTCCACAATTACTGAAGTAAGTGATAGCACCCTAATCTTGTAAACTCAAACACACTGACATTCATCTACTCACCATATTAATCATCTCCATCATGGGGGAGGTTTTGTTCATTGCAATGCGGGCATTGTCCAACTATTACAAGAAATAGTAGAAGTAAGATCACATGTTATATTTATCAGTATGATACCGTCAGCAATGCCTTTTTATACGTTTGTTGCCAGGCAGATTGGCGCATTAAACAAGTTGTTACAATACAAGTTGTGTTAATAACACACTGCTGGATGTCCTTCTGCCAAGCTAACAACAACATTATGCTTATGTCTGGAAAACACTCTTTTGCATCAAATGTAAGACCAACGCTAACACTTTAACGAAAAGGCAGAAAAGTCTGGTCTGAAAAATCACTGACTTAGTATGCACTGACAAACTAAAACGTGAGAAGTTGAACATTTCTCAAAGATAAAAAATGCTTTGAACCTTAACTTCCTACATCTTTAGGAAACTATTCCAGACAAAGCGAACACACTGTTTGAGACGTTGAGACAGTTTCTCACCACTGGCTCTTCTCAGAGCAAAAACGTCTTCCAAAAAAGAGATTGTGCCCATGATGTCCCTGCAAACAATACCTCTCTGTAAAACTAAATTTACTTCCACACTTTGCAGGAAACAGGAGTACTGAATCATCATGCTCAAATCAATCTGCAGGCTTTTCTATCTAAGAACCTATTTCTGATCTTATAACGTTGTACAGAGACTGGAGAGAGACTACTGCCAGTCTAGTCTCCAGGTTCACTGACCTTTTCTTGGCTATCTTGGTTCTGTCCCACATGAAGACTCAAGTAGTTCATAGCCTGGTGTTCCAACCCACTGAGTGACTCTAGCTGGGCAGTCACCAATACAGCCATGTGGGGTTTAAGTCGACTACCAGCCTTCTTGCTGATCTGAACTAAGGTGTACAGGCTAGCACAAAGGAGATGGCAAGAGGTGAATTGATTAGAATTCTTGGACTACTGTTTCTCTCGTTGCAGTTGACAGCAGATGATATCAGGACACAAGTAAATCAGTTGCTTGGTGTGGCGTCCGTACTTCAAGCAAATCTGTAGGAAATTTGACCTGTGTTTCCATGTTCAAAGGTGGCACTGTCACATAAAACTGCCCTCTAATAATGACTGCATTCTCAGTGAGACTTTCATTCGTGATCAGAAACTAAATTTGGTGAACCTACCTGACTGCACGGACTTCCTCTACTCTGCTGGGTAGGCCATCCTCTAACAAACACGGTAACACTAATGCTAGGGCCTGCTCACCAATCTTACCATAAGAAAGGTCACACATCTTGATGCAAACCTGACAAAAAAACAAGAGGGAATTGTCCTATGTCTTCTAAGTTCTCAGCATCAACAAAATAACCCAGGTGAACGAGATTTTTATGAAAAACCGGGCACCTCTGATTGCCAACATCTAGCTACCTTGCTTAGAGAGCGACAAGCGGCCTCCGCTGCCTTGCGGACAGATTCCTGAAAACAGAAAAAAATTAAATCCAAAATTGACGCCATTTCTTGTTTTATGAGTGACATTGATCAAGTATTATATGTGACTATAACAAAACCTTAATGTCACCAAGTGGGTTGCCACAGATGCCATCTAGAACAGTAAAACAAATACTTTTTATCTTGTCTTCACCTTGATTATGTGATCTAGTACTTGACTTTTGCCATTCAGTGTCCTGACACCACTGAATATGGCTTTATGTCATCTGATATTCAGCTTTTGTTCTCTAGTACTTTAACACCTTTCAATAGTACTCTAACATCATCTATATTACTTGGTTGTTAGATTCCATTTGATAATACTTTTATGAATGACAGCACTCACCTTAATGTCATCTAGTACCCGAAGACAACTCTTCCATAATTCTGGCAGGAATTCCACAATGCTATCGACATTTCTCCCACGAAGTAAATCACTCACTGCCAAGCAACTATGGGAATGAAAGGAGAAAAAGTTGAACATATTCATTGAAGGTTATCAAATTTCAATTTTTCTAGACACATAACTTGATGGCAATTCTACTGTCAGGGCACTGCAACAAACAACCACATTTTCCCGCAGTTACAAATGGAGTTTAAAAAACTTGAAAATATTGTGGAAAAATTCCAAGCATTCAATGAGCTTTTAAATTTGCTTTTATGGTATTTACCTGGATTCTCGGTTGCGCCACATATAATGAGTCAGATGGTGTAAAAGATCAACAACAATCTCCTTCAGGTATGCATCCACCTGAATCAATAATTAATGATCAATGAAGGATAAACAAGAAAGCAGACACACCCATGAAAAATAATCTGAGATGTGAAAAACGTGGATATTGAATGCAAGTCCTGGCTTGGAGTTTCTTAGAGTTTCTCGGCCAAGCGCGTATAGAATTTAAAGTTTGGACAACACCACACCCTCTTCACATACAAACAATTCTTCCTTTTTGAAACTTACCACGTTCTTATTGTCTTTGACTAATGCAGCCCAGATGCTGGTCATAGCTTGGCGGACTGGCCCACTTGGATCATACTGGTATCTATATAGTCTGGGTACCAGCTTAGGTAGATATGGAGTTAACTGGTCCCCTGCATATGAAGCTATAGAACTGAAGCCAAACGCTGCACCCTGTAGTCAAGCAGTTCAAAAGTTACCAGTTAGTACGTCATTTCTACCTACGTAATTTCCAACCGTGGATTTGAGAAGCATGAAGTGATATACTGACAAGTAGAACCTCCAAACTTGAATTTTGGACAATGATTAAATAAATCTTTACATTCATCAGAATGCCAGAATGAATGAGAAATCAAATTAAAGAGCTGGTCATGTTTTTTGGTTGAGGTTTTCCATAAGAAACTTCCAAATATATTTGATTACCTTGCGTGAGTTCCACATGGCGTTGTGATTGGCTAGATGCATGAATTTATAGATGAGATCTGGTTGGTTCATGTCACTAGCCAGTGAACACAGCTCTTTATATGTAGATAATGCTCCGCTATGAATCAGCAAATACAAACAAACTATTTCAATACTGTTAAACAAGCCTGCTGGATGCTTCAATCATAACAGACCTCTTGAAGATATTGTTGACTTGTTACAAGATCTACCTTCTGTTCAAGTTTATCTGCAGCTCTCTAGGAGCTCTCTGTCGACACTGACACACACAGTTTTAGAAGAAAACAACTCAAGACAGGAGATGATACTCTTGGCCAACCTACAAGTCTTTGGCACAAGACCACTGAGCATCTCACATACAGCACGACAGAATCGCAAGTCCCACACACATTTGCATAAACAAGGAGAGCGGTATACACATACAAACAGGAAGACTGCCTATTACATATCATCAAGTACAGGTTGGGGCCAATTGTAGGACTGTTTGTTTGGAGTTCAACTTTCCATAACTCCTTAAAAATAATGACTATGACAATGATAGCTTCACATTTTTCCAGTTTTTCAGAGAACTCTGTTTCAGATTTTGGCCTTCACAACGCCAAGGTTGTGACCTCTATTCTAAAGGAAGACATGCCACTTACCCTTCAGGATTACTACCCAAGGCTCCTTCATCAAAGACTTGAGTCTCACCGGTCACTGTCTGCTTAGCTCTGGAAGCCAGAAAAACCATAAAACAATTTAGTAATGTCATAATAACAACTCAATCCTAAAACATGACTTCCTGGGCGAGCTGTGTTGAGGTCCAATCTCCAAGGTGTTCCTTTCACCCCTTCTGCCCCCCTACCCCTCGACCCTCCCCAACCCCCTCTGCCATCCTTTTGGATCCCTCCCTTGGGTTCTCCTTGTACATCCTTCACTCTGCCTCTTTTCTCCTGTATTTGTATCTAGAGGTGTCTTCAATGCACGTTACTACTTCCATGCTTGGTCTCAAACACTCTGGTAGAATCGAAACATTTTCAAAGATTGCAAGAGGATAATAAAATCTGTGGTGTAGAAGTTGAAGATGCCAGCATTGATCTGTAGCTCAGAACAACTTTAATATTGTTGCCAAAAGCATGAATAATTTCAAACAATGAACAATAATGAAGATTGTCATGAAATAAATCAGTTAAACAGATGGATCATTTATAAGCATTAGAAAATGTCATAAGTTTAATGTCCAAACCCCTGACACCAAGCCCTTGATGTTAAAGTGAGGCAAGGTCAAAGGTTACCTCTTTCCTGTCATGAGTGCTTCTACCAAGACCGATACCAGTTCATTCTTTCTATCAGCTGTGCTCATCTCGTAAACGAGACTCAAACCTTTGGAGGCCACTTCTTGGGTTATTTCTAAAACAAAATATACAGAAATTAAAAGCAGGATCATGAATTCTTAGAGAAATCCACATCTCTAAAGACCAAAATGTGTTCCAAAAATTTGATGATATTTTAATGCAATCACAATTAAGAGCCTTGGAATTTTGGCAAGGTTTGAACAATTTAAAGGTTTGGAATTTTGGCAAATTTCTGAAAATCTACAACCAGAAACATGCAAAGCTAAGAAGTCAGAGACCCTGACATTTCAATCCTACCTGAATCTTTCACAAAGGCCTTCTCAAAAACTGTTGCTTCTTAAAACCTAGGGCACTTGAACTATTTTGATGCATGACAATTTAACACAGACAATGTTTACCTTCTCTCTCAGACAGCATATTGACAAACGCTTGTTGGATCTCCTTCATTTTACTCTGCATCGCTTGCTGACTTCCACACTGCTTGACAAGTGACAGCAGCCAGATGCATGCTGCCTATAGGGCACAATAATTCCAAGTAATAACATCATTCTTACATTAAAATTGTTGTGACTGCATCAGGACGCAGACATTATCCCACGCAAAAAAGACAACAGTTCAAATTAATTCCAAGTCCTATAGGTTAATATGCAAAATCCTGTTCACAATAAAATCATTCTGCATGAGCGTATCTATTAAAAAGAATACCGCAAATAAACTTGAAACAATACAGACCCATAAGCTCAGAAAAATTTCCAAAACGTCCTAAGTAAATGCAAATTTTATCCCAACTTAACACACCTTAAAGAGAATCTTATGTAAATTAACACAATGGAACAAAACTGGAGCACCGTAAATGTTACACTACCCAAAATTATTGAAAATAAGTTATTCAATAAGGTCTGACACATGAAACAATCTTCCAGACACAAATCCATGCTTAACCTTGTCAGATTTCCAACAACGTACCTGTCTCTTATGAGGATTCTGACTGTTAATTTCCTGCCCCAGGATTTTGATCAGCAGCCACTCTAACCAGTTGTGTTTCTTCTCCGACACCCCCTCTGGAGATGGCACAGCCATGCAGGCACTCAAGTCTTGTGTCCAGACATCTCGGCCTGCAGGTGAGGCCGGTCCCAGAGCTGCCTGACTCAGAGCCTTACCAACACTGAAGTGCAACTCAACCTCTTTCATCTATGTAGAAGATCAGAGCCCCAGAAATGTAAAAAACTTTCAAGATCGTGCAGTTTTGTCCAGTTCTGCAAAGAACCAGTAAAACTGCAATGTCTTTACACTTGCTGGCCCAATTAAGCTTGATAGCTGGAGTGGGTAAGACTTCTACATCAGCAGCTAAGAGGATTGTGGGTTTGAGTCCCAGCTGAGTCAACTGGAACTTTTTTCCTCACACAATCTCTTGGAAAGCACAGAACACACTCAATAAATTATGTAGTCGAACAGCAAGTCAACATTCAATTTCAAAGGTCCACTTGTCCTTTAAAAAAAAACGAACACAAACACAGCAGTCTTAATATGGCTCTCATAAGAACAATACAATCAGTGCAGGTTGTCTGAGTGTAATTCAAATGATTTTACTATTTTGCTGACTTGAAAGGTAACTACATCATTTGTTGATATCTGGCCAAATTTAATGGAGTTTTAAAATATAACATCAGGAGTTTAGCTCTGCTTTGAGAACAGGTGTCAAACAACATGCTATGTGTATCTTGCAGGATATTTCTGCTCTGCAACAAACTCGAGCAATTCTAGGTGCTGTCCTCACAAAGAGCTCACTGATTGACTAACATTAGATGACTGAAGGAGTCCTTCCAAGACAGCCTGAGTGAATGGAAACTCTGCCTCTCCGATGGGAAGACACCCAAGAGTCATGGCTGCTTGCTCCTTGACCTAATTGGGGAAATATATCATGAACATGGTCAGTAGATGAAAAACGGCAGTTTCTTCATCTACAAGTTAAGCCCCCAAAACTAAGAGAGGTTACATGTGCGCGCCAACACTGGGAAAGCATTCAAAGGCATCCTGGAAATTATGGGCAGTGAGGCAAAATCAATCCTTATTTGGGCAAATTTGAGATTTCCCAAGCCAGGTTTTAGTACACTTGCCAGCTAATGGAACCTCTACAATGCAGCCATGTAGCAGACTGTGGTGAATCTCTGACAGGAATACAGTGCATCTCTCAAAGAAGAACTAAGCTCAGGCAAATTCAGAGATTATTTCTGAAATCATTCCCTTGACAGCTACGTACTTTTGTGGCTTGTTTTGATGACTGCAACTTGGCCACAAGTTTGTCAACTACCAATCTCTTGGTTATCTCCCCTTCTTTGTTAGTGGCCATCCCTTTCTTGGCTTCTTTGGTATCGTCCATGTCACTGGTTGCATCAGACTGCTGGGCCGTACCACCAGTGGGCAAGGGTAGAGCACCGCAGCGGGCAATTTCTCCTAAGGCAATGCACGCTGCAGAGCTCATGAGTGGGGTGTGATTGTCAAGTGAAGACACTAGGAGAAAAATAAAATGATTCTCTGAAATTTGGGTCCTTGAATTTTGTCACTGGGTAGCAAAAATAAGGCTCAAGTGTCCCTTGTACACAGTATTGTTGGGGGTTTGCCCCCATGGTGTTAGAATGCATTTCACAACAAAAATCAGATTGACAGTCAAAAACTACTCTAAAGATTCTGCAAATTGAAATTTCAGATCATGCGAACTGGCAGGGACTTACCAAGAACCTTAACGGCTTCCACGATTGCATTGTTGAGTTGCATTATTGCTTTCTCCTGCTTGCTTGTCTCGTTGCCATTGGTGATCATGCCTGGACCCCATCGTCTGGTCCTTGACAGGTATCGGCCGATGATATAACCAAGGGCGAGGAGTGATCCATGGTGATCCTCAAAGGAATGAGACTTAATATGGAAAGGGTAAAAACAATGTTTGAAAGTTTCAACCAAATGTACCGACAGCATGTCATGCTGGAAGGTTTGTGAGATGCAAACTTGCCTGGCTAGTTAACTTTAACCATCCCTTGCAAAGATGCGTTCTGCATAAGTAGTTTTGTCAGTTAAAAATCAGTCAAATGAAATTATGATACATCCATGCACTGTAACGGAAGACCTGGAGAGAATTTCTGACTGTCCGTATTGTTAGGGCAGTTTTACAATACAGTTATACCACATTTATGAAATTTTGTATACTGTAACGACTGTTTTTACAGATTACAGGCAGGGATATCCACTCAATGTTGGCAGAGACATTTTACAATTGGAAAGCCACTGTGCCCTGGCATCCATGCAAAGACACTAACAATTTGTGCCCATTCAAGTGAAAACTGGTCAAGTGCTTGCAAAACAGTGCAAATACTTAATGTGTTCCACCGGTGGGTACATAGTTCCTGAAAGAAGTCTCCAGGGCTGTTCTCCAGTTCTTTCCTTCAGCTTTGAACTTCAAGGGGAGATTCAAGAGGACAATTAACATCCTCCAAATAGATTTTGATGGATCTAGAAGCGTTAGTGATAAACTGGGCTTCTGTGGAAAGTTTCCAATGTCCTGATTCTTTCCTCTTCAGAAAACCTACCTGGTCTTTCACCATCTTGGTGAAGTCTTTGATGTTTTCTTTGATTTTGTCCGTGCTGCAAGCATCGCATACAATGCCATAGAGCTCTGCTGCAGGAGTTCTTATGCGCTCATGATTACCACTCACAAAATTCTGCTCCCAAATGGAAACGAAGGAACAAAACAGAACGCTTTCAGGACACTGCCAGAAACAACGAACACAAAAGTGGACAAAACAGCCAACAAAGCAAACAAATTAGAAACATCTCTTGATGCCATGTCCACAAAGCAAATATGATTGGTCACAAAATGACCCATCAACTAATATTCAAACTTTCATTCTCATAAAATGACACAATTTCTTTCTACTGCAGCAAACAGCAGAAATGAATTTCAAACTACTTTCAGACTAAAAGTCAATTCCTGAAATGCACCTTTATCCAGGCTAGCTTGTCCCTAAACTGCCTGCCCATTTTCTCTGGCGCTATGGCAACAATCTCCAGGAGACACCTCATGACCTCGCGTGACCCAACCACATTCAGCAGCTGTTGCATCAGACCAATGTATACCAAGACAGGATTCTCAGAGCCCGTTCCTGATTGGTCGAGGAGCTGGTTGACATGGCGACTGGCAATTGGTGTATCTGAGTCCAGGTCAAAGGGCGAGTCCTTGTTGATATGTATTCCAGCATCATGCAGCAAACAGGCACGAAGATAGAAAATTACCTGAAAAAAATAAGATCAGACAACTGACTAAAACTCCAGAAAGCTACTTGCGACCAAATTTTTTGAAAGCAAAAGTTTGACACTGAAACTGAGACACAGACAATATAAGCATTTATCTCACCTCACTGAAAATGTCAGGCAGGAAGGGCAGAGCTGTGTTTCCTGACAGATAACGTGATGAGCTCTTGACTCGCTTTGATGCCTGGGTGAGTAAAAGACCACATCTAGCATTCGTCATGAACAAATTGAGATTACTGAGGTTCAGGGCACAGCAACGGATCCTTGGAATGTGAGGAAATGAAGCAAGGTTTGTGTCAGGCATACTCACCATTTCACTGATGTATAACACCATCTCAGGGAATCCAGGTACCAAGACCTTGTCGTTGGTAGCCCCTTCCCCTTGACTGCTGCTGCTCTCTCTGGAGCTGTCCATCATCATTTCTCTGTCAGGAATACTCAATGCTTTCATGGCTTCCTGCTGGATATCCTCCTTCCTGATAAGGTATGAATGCCCAGATTTGGTGTCCAATGAAATGCATTCTCTAACATTTGAAGCTTTATTCAATTTTGGAGTTGACATTCATGGAAATTATACTTAAGTTGTCAGTTTGTGCGACTTTGCAAGCTGTAATTTTTATTCCATCCACTGGACAAAGATATTGACTTAAGCAGTATTTGAGCCCATGGCCTAAGATATCAAACCCCATTCATGCCTACTCCAAATCTGTCAGAGACAGACGTAATGCTGGGTCTGGCAAAGACATACGGCTGAAAGGTTTAGCCTTAGCTGGCAATGACACTTACAACGATGAAAGGTAACAGCTAGCGACTGCGATATGAGAGGTTACTACAAACAGTCTCAAAACCATTCAACCCAAACCTGAGTCTCAAGCTGGTGGATATCAAACCAATGTTCACATGTTTGACAGGACATGAAGGCATTCATTACTTACGAATCTCCAGTGGCTAACAGGAGGGCATAGCGTGACGGTATGTGGTTGCCTGGAAACACGGCCCGTGCGTACTGTACAGCAGCAAGGCGGGCCTGGGGCTCTGACTACAAACAGAAAGACGGCATGGTCTCAAATCACAATACAATAAATGCTGAGCCTTCATGTGTCGCCTCGGAGCCAACATTTATTGGCTCCAACTTGTGTTTTCAAGTCAAGATATCCTAATATCTCAATATTGGTTACTTTATGAGTTACTTTCTGCGAGTTTAGAAGAACCATTTCAAACTTTTTGCGATATGAGACATGAACCAACATCCTCTCGTTTAGCACCTTAAGATATCTTAACATATCTCACCTTCTCAATGTTGCTCATAATCAATGTCTGCATTATCTGTAGGTTGGGTCCTTCCAGGTTCTTGTAGGCAGATGCCATCAAAGCCAGGGCTTCTTGAACATGAAGTCGGATGTTAGCATCCTCCTGAAGAAAAAGGATACAAAGCCACGACAAATGAAAAAGGTGGGTATTTTGTCGCGACACCAAGTTGCAGTGAGGGAAGGTCTTTATGGTGAGGTGCATCAAAAGAATCCGGTGAATGAAATGGAAGCTTAGAGAATGAATGAACAACAAACCAAGAATTGGCTATCTTGAAACTTGGCACATTTTACTCACAGTTGAGAGAGCATCAAAGAACTGTTGTAACAACGCCATGTCCTTGAGAAACAGCTGAGGCACTCGCCTGGAAATCAAGAAATATGGTGGCTACTGTAATTGTGTAAATCGGAACTTTTTAATATCCAAATATTCTGCTCAGATTGTGTCAGATGACAAAAAGGAACGCACACTGAAGGATTTTTTTGTTTACAAAACAGAAAATGCACCAAGTATTAAAAACAAATTGCACAACAAATTGGAACATAATGCTGTTTTCAATCAGCACTCGATCTGGTAGTGACAGAATACTCACTTTGATAATTTCCCCACGGCAACGTAGGCCAGACCTCGAAGTTGGGTACTCTGGAGAATGCAACAGAAGAGAGATCAAAAGAATTCTGAGTTCAAATAATCACAACCATCAAACAGGCAGTACAACAATGCTAGCAAAGGTATATCTAGGCTTTAAAATCAGGAGAGTACCAAGATATCACTTTTAAACTTGGAGGTGAGACTTTAATGAAGCCAGTTTAAAATGGCTGCACTTTCAAAAGGAAAACATATTTCTGTAAAACTTAGGAATATGGTACATCCCTGTAGGTTTCCATTCTGAAACAAAATTCAACTCTTGCAAGAGGGGTCAAGTTATCCCCCTTTATCCAAATAAAACAGGGCACCCCCTGAGCCAGTTGGGGATGGACATCTGTCTGGACTTACATCTTTAGCTTCTGTGATGAGTTTCCCCATGCCGGAGAGAAGGATCGGCCCCATAGGTTGGATGCGGGCCGTGCTGCACGTAGTGCAGAGATGATGGACAAACTGGACGGCAAATGTCTTCAGTTTAGCATTGGTGTTACTACCGTACAAGCAGTCGAAGATGATCTAAGAAAGAAAGACATCATGGTCAGACAGGCTTGGAGAGATATGAGGTAATGGGTTGAGGTATCTCTCTGGGTGCAGACTTTTTAAGGGGTGGTGCCAACAAACGCAGGAGACCACTGACACATGTTTCTTATTTGAACTTTAAGACACATCGAGTCCCATCATTCCATGAAAAAGTGACAATGACTGCACTGGATCTTCTTCCCTGGTTCCAGCTGAGAATTTTTAAACAAATGCCAATACTGCTATGATATTAATATATCAATAAATGTTACTGGTGCCCTTTTAATATTGTATATATATCATTCCATTTACATTTCAATTAATAATAAAATGTGCATTTTTGCAGCTGAATGATTTTTTTTAGCTGGTATTATTTTTATTCTTGTCATTTGTTTGGGATTAAAGATAAATTTGTAAACATTTGCCACTTTTTAACTGTATCGATGAAAAGCTCAAAAACTTCTCTCTGAATTCTGCAAAAATCCTCTTGATAGAATTTGAAGAACCTAGAAGTGTACTGGATCGATTCTTGAGCACTGCAATGCCTAGTTTACCAACCTGAATACAAGCTGGAAACTGATCGGCTGCCTCTCTTGACTTGAGAAAGTAAGGAAAGATCTTAAGACGGATTCGGGTACTGACTGGTAGTCGGCGGTCCTCGGACTTCACAGCAGGCTATGGGTGGAATTGAGAATGGAACCAGTGTAAGGCGAGTCTTCCTAAAAATGTAGATAGTAGTATGTTCAAGTGGAAGACATGTAACTGGTAAACAGAGTTG